CAATTGGGAGAAAAGAGACAGTTCACCGCTATATTATTATTTTTTTTTTTTTTCCTCCACTCCTCTTTTCTCTTCGTTTTGACCTTTTTTTTGAGCGTCTGCGTCTCTGTGTATACGCAGACGGCGCCCTCGTCCCTTTCAAGTGTAGAATAGATTACTTACTCGCGGTGATGCAAGATACAACACCCACCCCCACTGCGATTCTACGATCAGAGACCCCAGCCAGCGCGAAGGGAATAAAAAGAAAAGAGAAGAAGGAAATCAATTTATAAAAACAATATAAAGTAAGAAAAAAAAAAAAAAAGGACCACCCCACCTCTTACTACGGTGAAAAGTCCTAGTATACTACCTTATATTATTGTGTATATGTATGTGTGTGTATGTGCGATACATAAAAAAAAAAAAAAAAATGAACAGAAACAAGAAGAAGAAAAGAAAAAAATGACAAAAAATAAAATAAAAGAGAAACTGATTATAAATCAATTTAGAAATAACCTTTAGGAATAGTCAGGATGAAAGAAAAAAAAAAAAATGAGTAGATGCAAGAAGGTGAAAAAATAAATAAATAAATAAATAAATATAACGAAGAGTGAAGAAAGGGGGGAGAGAAAGGGGGAAATTGCAAGAAATTCCTTACTCCGGTTTCCACTCTGGTACGTATTGCCAACCACAACCAAGGAGGTGATTACCACTAAAGGCAATTAAAATAATAATAAAAATATATAACAAACAAACGCATATATATATATATATATATATATAATTTTTGTTTCACAAGGGAAAGATGGCTATTTATAAGTGGAGGGAAAGAAGAGGAGAAAAAAAAAGACAACCAATCATATATTGGTCTCTGTTCATTTTACTTTCAGTTTTGATTTCATTTTCTCGTTACATTGTTTATATAAATCTTGGCTCATGCGTCCAATTCAGTTTTTTTTTCTGTTTTTTCTCGTATTTGCAATTGCCGTTATCACACGACACGTTCTCTTTTTTTTATTTTTTTCAGCTTCTTTCAATCTGTTTCTCTCCCTTCCTTCCCTTCTGTACTTTTCTTGAACTTAATTCAAAAACAAAAGAAAAAAGAAAAAAAAAGGTTACGGGGTTATCTCCATTTGTTGTTATGATGAGATGGTCTCATCGCACGTACACACACAAACATATTAACCCCACCCATACATTACTTTGTATCTTTATCTCTTCTCTCTCTCTCTCTCTACATTATTCTTCTGGGGCTAAAAAGGGTTTCATGTATTCTGGCGTATATGTAAAAAAATTATGTGAAAGCGCCTCACGTGCTGTTAATCGTTGAGACGGATCACCGTGTAGCATCTTCTTTAAAAGATCATACAGCCAAAAACGTTGTTGCATCATTTCATCCAAAATAGATTTAATCGGGGTCCCTTGTTCACCTCCTGCCGCAGCCGCTACTTCCTCTGGGGTTTCCCCTACAGAGGCTGTGGGACTTAAACCCACCGCAATACGTTTCTCCTCAGTTGAAAGCATACATCTACGCACCAACTCCGCGAGGGTACGATATTGAAAATAGCATCGCCATTCCACAGGCTGTGCATTTTCACGGCGGGCAAGATATTCATTTTCATTTAAAAGACGAAAGGAAGGAGTAGGTTTTGATTTATTATGAGTTTCTTTAGAGTCACTACCTAGTGTACTCTCACTGTAAGGTTCAGAATCTTCGACATCATAGTAGTTAAGGGTGTGTTTTCCTTTCTTTAAAAGTGAGTTTGGTAATGGTCCAAGCATTTCTTCCATAAGGTAAAGTTGATGATAATCACAGCTACCCGGTAACAGTGGAAGACCAAGCAACAATTCTGCAAGTAAACATCCTGTTGACCATATATCAATTGGTGGTCCATAACCTGCAGCAAGAATCACTTCAGGGGCACGATAATATCGTGATTGAAGATATGTGTATATACCCTCTTCAACATAACTACTACTACTAAAGTCTATCAGTTTAATATGAAGAGGTGGTATAATAGAAGATTTTGCAATACTTCCACTCTTACTTCCAGGTCTCAGTAAACTTTTACTATTACTAGTACTTGGTCTTTTATCCCGAGACATCACAGGATGAACACGAAGAGCCGACGGAGCAGGTAAAGATCCCTCCGTCATATTAGATGTAGATGCATCAAGCATATTACTCATTAAACTTCTCTTTACTGAACGTCCCAGAAGTACACCAGAAGATTCCAGCAATACCTTTGCCCTATCACTACCACCACTACCACCACTTCCACCACCAGCAGCAGCAGCAGCATTACTTGTACTACTACCAGAAAGAGTAGTTGTACATGAAAAGCAAGAATCAAGTGTTAGTAATACATTTTCAGGTTTAATATCACAATGAACAACATGACATTCTTCATGTAATAGAGTTAATGCAGATAAAATTTTTCGTCCAATAGCTTGAATATGGTACATAGGAAGTCCCTTAAAACCATTCGCTTGCACATATTCAAAAAGATTAGCTCCATAACGTTCCATTACAATACAGTGATGTCCATAACAAACTCCATGAGCATAAATTTTCGCCACATATTGACAACGAGGATCTGAAACTGGAATTCCAATACTAGGAAGTGTTGATTCATTAGATTTGAGTCTTCCAGTATTAGAATGTCCCTGTGGAGCCGTTTGTGCACCAATATGTACTAACATTTCTGCTTCCATTACAGATTGTTGTTCAAATAAAGCTCGACTTTTTACAACTTTTACAGCTACTAAAGCAGGATGTGTTGGTACCATAGATGGATCACTAAAAGGGATATATTCATGTGAACATTGCCAGTATTGAAAATCTTCACCTTCAATTTCACTTGGATGTAAAAAACGACGATTAGCAATACGTAAATCTTTACATAAAAAAACTTGACCAAATGTTCCAGCCCCAAGAAGATCAACTACTTCTAACCATCCCATTAAAATCATTCCTACATAAACAACTAGATCATCATTTTCATTATCAACACGACGACTTACCCCATCTATAGTATGAACTTTACTTTTCCATAATCGCATTTGAGTAAGTGCACGATGAGGAGTTGCAGATGATGGTTCATCTTTTAATTTTGTTGGTAAAGGAAGAATTCCTGTTGTACCATCTTCTGCCGCAATAGTTTCTGCAGCTTCTTTATAAACAGAATGAGATACAGAACGTGAAGAATATTTACACAAAGAATTCTCTTCAGCTGCTACTGAAGTACCAATAGTATGTACTCCAGGTATTTCAGTAGCAAGTTTTTCTTCTTGTTGCTGCGAAGTTTTATCGCGATCATCTCGAAATTGTGTTGAAAGAGGTTGAGATATTATCTGTCCATCATTATTTCCATGTCCTTGCTTTAGCTGTTCATTTATTTTTCGGTATACAAATCCTGCAAATAAAGTAGTTTGTAATAATGGACGTCGTTCAATCAAGGATATAATAGTAGGATCTGCAGCCATAGTAAAACTCCGTTGTAATTCATCATGTTGTCGATTCGTGCAACCATGAAGAATTGGGGATACATGAGATACAATTTGTCTGTTTGGATGTTTAAAACCCCACTGTGATCCCAGACTATAATAACCAGATGGTAATCCAATATTTGTTGACGGTGATAAGGTAGAATGCATTCTTAAAGGAGGTAAATGTCGAGGTGTACTATGAGTAGATTCTACATGTGATTTATTATCTTCTTCCCCCTTTAAAAGAAGGGACTCATAAATATCATAGACGAGTCGAAAACGCCTCATATGGTTTTGATCATGTAAAGGCTTTAATAAGGAATGATTTCTATCATCAGCATCAATACTATTCCGTTTAGCGACATCAGCGTTAATGTCATTCTTCTTCTCATGATTACTATCATTATCAATATCATTATTATTTTTACTAACATCATAATCAACAATATTAGTAACGGGATAAACTTTCTTTGGAGGTTTATTACCAGAAACATTTGCTCCAGGAACCTTTTCTTCTTCATCGTCGTCTTCTTCACGTATCAACATGGTTGCTACCGAGTCCACATGACCAAGAACAGGAAATTTCCATGTTGAAAAGGGTTGAACACCGGGTGTAAAATTTTTTGAAGAAGAAGAACTACTACGACGAGGAGAAAGTGTAGGTGTAAGAGTACATTTTCTCTCTAAAGGAGTGATATCTGCATTAAAACTTCCACTGCTTTCTAATTGAAATGCAGAGGAAACTCCAGATCCATTATGTAGGGGTTGACTAGATGTAACTTCACTTTTCCCCATATCCGTATCCATATGAATATCACTAAGGGGATAATTATCTCCTCCCACTCCAGCCATTTGCGCTCCAGAAATAAACCTCTCCATTTCTTCTCTCGGATAGGAAGGAACATTATGAATATTTATTTCCTGTGTACTACGAACAACCGGTATACCATGATTCTCTGAAATTAATCCTGGAAAAGGATGTGCCGAAGAAGGTAAACCCGTATGTGTGGAAGAAGAAGTATCACCACTAAAATGTCGACGCTGATGTGATAAGGAATTACAAGAGGGTCTTGGTACTGCCGCCCGACACCCTTTGGAACGCATAGACGAAATATCGCTAACGGAAAGTGAAAGGCGATTAAGTACAACATCACGGTGACCAACATCTACTTCATATCTATACATCCAGTCCTCTTCGAAATGATGTCCCAAGGGAGCTGATTTAGACAATGTATTGTTTTCCACTTTGGAAGAATCACAAGAAAAAGGATCATAAGTTGCAGGAAGAGATTCAGTATGGGAATGTTTCTTTTCTACATTATCACAGGAACGAAGAAGTTTTAAACGGCGTGCAGCCTTACGTCTACGGGCAGGCTTGCATGACGGATCCCTCTTCTCTAATATCATTATCTGTGTATCTCTTGCCTCATTTTTTGTTTCTTCATCCCTTTTCATTTTATTTTTTCTTTTCTTTTCTTTTCTCTCCTTAAAGACGACAAAGTAGCCACTACGCGCCCTTTATTTCTTATGTTGCTTTTGTTTCTTTTTTCTTTGTTCTTTTTTTTTTTTTTTATCTTTATTTTATCCTTGTTAGTTTCCTTTATAAAGAAAACCAACTCTAAAAATCAAATTTCAATTACAATTTCCCCCAATAACAATCACTAGGTGTAAGAGACTAATTATATCCAATAATGTACCTTGGACGTTTTGTAATTAGTCTCACATACACACACCCACACACGGACACAATAGGGTTTTTTTTTTTTTCTTTCTTTCTTTCTTTCTTCCTGCCCCTAAATATTGTCCGTGACTACAGCGACGAAATCGCTCAGAAAAGACTCTGTGTCGTTAAGAGATCACATAAAAGAAAGAAGAGAAAAAAGAAGAGAAAAAAAAAAAAATAACAAGATAATTATCTCAAAACAGTAAATATATAAAACGAAAAAAAAAAAAAAAAACAAGAATCCTTTTACATTTTCTACACCACGGGAAAAGAGAAATCAATTTTTAATGAGACATGTAAAAGAGATATATAAAAAAAAAGTGGTAGCAATGATGCAGAGAAAAGAAATAAGCAGTAACTATCGACGCAGAAAGAGCAAAGGAAAACAAATAATAATAATAACAATAATAATAATTAAGTCAAGAAAGGTGTTTACACAACCTCCTTTTTTAAATAAATCAACGTAGTTTGTTTTTCCTGCACTAGTTTTCAAACGGACTCTCATTGCAGTTCCTCTTAATTCCCCAAGGAAGTAGTAGAATTAGCACCACTATCTTTATTATCAGAATCAACACTACTACCAGAGAGAGTAGTAGTAGTAGTAGTAGTAGTAGAACTCAATGGATCTACTGTTTTAGCTGCATCTTGGCGTTGTTTGAGGATACTTTTTATATAGTACTCACCAGCTCGGTATGAGCTTCGCACCATAGGCCCTGATGCACAATACAAGAAACCCATTTCTAAAGCCTCCTTTTCCCACATTTCAAATTCCTTTGGATGTGCATAGCGACTGACTTTTAGACGTGTACGTGCGGGTTGCAGATATTGACCAAGGGTTACGGCTGAAACGCCAGCAGTACGCAAATCCCGCAACGTTTGTCTCACTTCTTCTTCCTTTTCACCAAGTCCTAACATAATACTACTCTTCGTAAGCATTTCACCCTTCGTAAAAGTGTTTACGTGTTCGAGTACTTTGAGTGACTGTCGGTATGAAGCTCGACGATCACGTACATTAGGTGTAATGCGTTCAACACATTCAATATTATGTGCATACACACTGAGTGGTGAGGTAGCGACCATCTCAACAAGTTTAAGGTCACCATGAAAATCACCCACCAAAGCTTCAAGAAGTACTTTTGGATTTTTCTCTTTAATAGTATTAATACACCGTACAACATGGGATGCCCCACCATCTGGTAAATCATCACGATCCACCATGGTCATGACGATGTAATCAACTCCCATTTCAGAAACGGCATCCGCCACTTTTTCAGGTTCCTGAGGATCAAGTGGTGGAGGTTTGCGGCTTGTCAATACAGAGCAAAAGCGGCATCCACGTGTACAATGTGTTCCCATCACCATAATAGTTGCGGTGGCAGTTCCTTCCTCCTCATCACCACCCCAACATTCACCAATATTTGGGCATTTGGCTTCTTCACAAACCGTCGCCAGTCGTTTTTCCCGCATAGATCGACGGATTTTATTAAACCGTGGTCGTTGTGAAATACCTTTTGCAACTTTTAGTTTTAGCCACGGTGGTAGTGGCTCCTCACCGCGCTTTAACGGTCCAATCGCCGCGGCAGTGGGTGGGAGACCTTCGGGGAGATCAAAGAAATTCTCCAGTGAGTTTTTACCAGTCGTATCATTCGCCAATCGCTCACGAAACTTCTGCAGGAATATTTGTTTATGCAGAGGATCGCTCTTAGCTTCACTCACTGACTTTGATGATGCGTTATCGTCTTTAGGGGTTGTCGTTGGAGTTGCAGCTATTGTAGAGAATACTCTGCGAGATAGTGCCGTTGAACCCCGGTAAAACATATATATTTTTGTTGTTGTTGTTGTTGTTGTTATTGTTGTTGTTTCTCTTTTGTATTTGCTCTTTTTTTTTTTTTTTTTTTTTATTGCTTTCCGTGGGGATTTACCCAATCGCTTCGGTTTATTTTGTTTTTGTTTTGCTTTTTTTTTCAGTATTTATTTGCCTCTCTTATCCTTCTTAACTTGTTAACTCCTATAGCAAGTCTCTTTTGATTGAGAGAGAGAAAGAGGATTAACCTATTATACTATGGGTCCCTTAACTTGAAGAAAAAAAAAGAATAATAAGAATAATAATAATAATAAATTACAAAAAAAAAGAATTAATAAAAGAAACAAAGTAAGAAGTTTCTTAGTATGCTTCACATTAAGAAATAAAGATTAATACAGTTTTAATTGTTTATAAATCATTGCAAGTGTCTACTAATATATCAAAATTATATACATACATGTATAACTTTTTGGAAAAAGCACGTAACTGTATGTGTTATGTACATCAAGATGCATCTAATGAGTTCTTCAGTAAAGGTCACCTTGCAAAAAGGGGGGAAAAAAAACAGCATCCAAAGACAGGTACAAATAAAAGAAAAAAAAAATAAACAAATAGATAACTCCACATAAACAGCATTAATAAAATGCTGTTCCTTTCTTTCTTTTTTTTTTCTACCGTTTCTTCGGTAATATTTCAATCTTGGCCACATCTTTTATTCCTTGTGATGCTAAATTCGCAATGATACGTTCTGTTATGTTTGGGTCATTGTCCCTTATATCCAAGTCGTTCTTTACCTCTTGGAAAGTAATACGTCCATTTCTATGAACTACTCGTACCCTTCTACAAGAGGTGTTCATGGATTTCCCATTCCCTCCGCTAAGATGCCAGATATTACGCATTAGCACCTCAAACTCTTGGTCACTGTCAATTTCAAAAGAAGCATCTTTAAAGAATGAGAGAAAGGTATCAAATGAAATATAAGCATCAAGAGGTAAATCCCATTGTTCTACAAATGCATTATGTGCATCTGAAGAAGTGACACTACCGTTCATAACAGTATCCATACTATCAACATCCACAAGATCCACAAGACGTTTAAGACGTACAATACCATCAGGACATAGTGTTTTAAGCATCTCATACACTTTTTCCACAATACTGTAACGGCGATCACGTAATTCTCCACGTAGTTCCTCTACAATTTTATCAATTGAAATTGTACCATTACCTTTAACATCAAAAGCTCGAAAAAGAGCCATACATTCTGGTCTGTTGGTTATTACGGTTGCTTCTTCAAAAGCACGTTGAGCCTCTTCCACTGTTAACATGCCTTCTCCAACAGTATCATTTCGGTGTAGTGAGAGTCGCACCAGACGAAGAACATTTCCTGGAAAAGCAGATTGTCCATGATGAGATAACTGTAATTGACGTTGAAAACGTAATATCACTGCTTTCGCCTGTGATGTATCAGAACGTCCAATAACAAGTGGAACATATTGTTCCTCTTTTTCTTTCGCCTCTCGTGGATCCCTGTAGGATTCTTTCATTGTTGTCTTGGAGAAATCCTTAATGATCTCTTCCCGCTGAGAATCCAACTGTGGTTGATGTGCAGGATAGGCTCGTTGCTTGTGGTCCACAATATCCATTAATGTAGCCTGATCAAACACAGGGGAACTCACCGGTCCAGTTGCATTACTTGTCATGGATCGATAATCCGTTGTCCATACCTTCTGAAGATGTGTTGGAAGTACGGCCTTTCGATCGTAGTAAGCCGCATCTGCCCGTTCCTCACTCCAATTCCCCTGCAGTGTTTCTGTACTGTAGCCGCCTGTCAGTAGTTTAGTGCCAGGGAGATAACCGCGGTTCTTTGGCTGATTTTGGCATCCCTGCAAACGTTCGCTTAGACGCTCCTTCGTGTGTTGTCCTCCTATCATTTCTGAAGACTCAAGCACACACTCACAGAGAAAGAAAGAGAAAGAGAGGGATACACTCAGCGAAGTACTTCAAATCCGTAAAAGGAGGATAAAATTCTACATTGTATTGAAAAAGAAAAAAGAAAAGGAGAGAGAGAGAGAAAAATAAAAATAAAAAGAGAGGAATTGAGTTGCCACCATAGGAAGGAGAGAGAGAGACAGAGAGAACTCTGATAAAGCATTAAAAGAGAAAAAAAAAATGAATTGTTTTTTTTTTTTCTTTTTTTAATCTCTTGTCAAGAATTGATTGCACTTGTTTTTTTTTTCTTCTCTTTCTTTCTCTCACTCTACTTGCGACGGAAAAAAGGAAAATAGCTTATGGTGGAGGAAGAACAAGACACGACTTCTAATGAATTCGCCACCATACTATAAAAGTAATACATATGTAAAACCAAGATGGAAAAGTAAAAAAGGAGAAGAAATAACAAATGAAATTTTTTTTAAAAAAAAGAGAGAGAAAGAATGAAGACGGAGAAAGAGAATAAAAAAAAAAGAAAATATTTAGAGAAAAAAATAAAAACTCCCTTCAAAGAAGTGAAGATGTTTCTTGTTCTTTCTTTTTTTCTTTTTTGCTCCTGTCAAGTCTACTGTACTCAACATTCTCCTTCCTTTCTCTTTTCCCCCTTTTTTTTTCTTTCTTTTCATTCTCGGTGGTCAATTCTTCATTTTTGGTTTTCTTTTTGTTATTTTTGTTTTTTTTTTTTTTCTTTTGCTTTCTATATATATATATATTCTTTCCCTTCTTTTCATACTTTTTTCTTTTTGCTCTCTTCCACTCCACATTTCCCACATACCCCATCTACGCATCACAACAACAAGAATCACAACAACAACTTCTCTTTCTTTCTTTCTCTTTTCTCTTGTATTTACTGGTACGGCCTTGCACCGGGCCTTGCCGCCTCCTTCGCCAATTCCTGCCGCACCTTCTCCTGCACTGTATCCCAATCCACCTGCACAGTCGCTGCGAGTTCATTAAACATCGGAAGAGTCTCCGGCTTCTGTACCGCACGTAAATATTTTTGTCGCCGTGCGAGTACGGTGTCCACGTGTGTCTTTCGCTCCACCGCTATCTCCAACGCCCGCTCCCAATTAAATAGTCGGGTGTGCATATCAATACAGCGATAGATGAGACCAGCTTGCATAAGAATTCGCTCCGCCTCTGCAGGACGCCGTTGAAATAATGCCAACTCCGCCTGACGTCCCTCAGGTGTGGGAATACTCTTCACATAACGCATATAACGAACTTTATCCAATTCAAATAAAGCTCCATAGCCAACCTCCGCTACATTTAATTCACCATGACGTAATGCAAGACCAGTGAGAATACCCCAAAGAGGTTTTTCATCCAAAAAACGTGCCAGACGCATTGCTCCACTCCAGTCATGTCGGGCCACATGTTCAAATATCATAGAAGGATATGGTGAGGCATTAAAAGTCAAAAGTGCTCCATCTAGACCACATCGTACACTTACGCGGGTACCATTGAATCCAACAATACGATCATTCTGTGTAAATTCATCTGCAACATCATCACGTACTATTTTTGTCGTGGGAAGTAAATCACGATCAGAAAATACAATTGTTGGATAATACCATGTCGTCAAATGTCCATCAGCTATAGCCACTAATATTTCATGTGTATCATGCCAAGCCAAATTAGATGCCATAGTACTGATTTTTTGTACTCCAAGTTTTTGATGTACTGTACCAAAGTATAGATCTCGATTACGATCTACAAAAGCAATTTTTCGGTCATTCATAGCTCCAGGTTGTGAAAGTTCTAGTGATACCACTTCAAGGTGATGTACAATAGTTGCTTCTTCAATGGGTTTACCATTATTTGTATCAAAAAATAGAATTTTCTTTGCATCTGCAGGATTACGCATAGCCACTGTATCTGAAGAAAGTGATAAAAGATCAGGGGCCATAATTTCTGGTCGTAATGTAGCTTGTAATCGTAACAGACATATTTGTCTACCCTCATAAGAGTATACTTGCATACCGGAATTGCAATCTGCGAGTAAAAACTGTTTGGGTCCAAGAATTAGTGTAATCACCACATCCCGAAGATCAAACTGTACTGGAGCAGAGAGTTTCTCTATAGGATAACACGCACATTGAGTAGTTGTACATGCTACAAGGTAGCCATGACCAAGTTCCAATTTGATAACTTTATCACGTAATTCCAATTCCTCTACCGCATCTGTTAAAACATCCTGAACCAGAAGTTTATTACCATCTACCAATGTTACACAGTATTGGCTCCAGTATAATTTGCGATCTACAAGTTGTGCTGTACAAACTGCCCCACTACCACAACCCATTACCACTTGAGTTCCATCTGTTGTCCATTGTAATGAAAGGGCACTACCTTCTGGTAGACGTTCATATGTATGACTCCAACCGGTTTTATCACAAACTCTTATATTCATAAATGATCCAACTGCGAACATTTCACCATCAGCTGAAAATTTCACAGATGTACATGGATGTTCACCAGCTGCAGAAACATAAATACTACGTCCATATGGATCCCAAACTTTATATGTTCCATCCTCACCTCCAGTAACAATATATCCTGTCATAAGTGACCAATCCACAGTTAATACAACTCCATTATGAGCCTTCCATTTATGTTGTTTCTTAATAGTTGGATTTAAAGGTTTAATGATTACGTCACTTCCAACACAGTAAAGTACACAATCACCTCCAAGCTCTGTCGTCTCTGAACCCCAACAAAGTGCATAAACACACTTTCCTGCAGAAACAAGTGTTGTACGTGGAATACCAGCTTGAGACCAAACCTTCACACAACCGTCTTCACCTGATGATACAATAGAAGAGGCATCAGCGGAATATACAAGTCCTGTAATAGTTCCAATATGTGCATCCACTGTACGTTCCACTCGTCCTGATGCCGCGTTAAGAAAACTGAAAGTTCCATCTGCACATGCCACGAGACAATTATCTTTTCCTTCAATAGTACCAGCAGCAGCACCACGACCTCTACGACCACCCTGCACAGGTACCCATGTAATGTAAGTAATACAGCTATCAAACTGCTGTACTTTTCCAAGTGCCTCTCCATTCGCACTCCAGCGTCGAAGCACAAAGTCATCACCAGCGCTGATCACATCACCCATCAGTGATACAGCAACACATGTGCACGCCTCTTCGTGCCTTTCATTGGGTGTTGTAATGTTTAGCCGCATTCACCTCTTTTCCACAATATTATGAGAAAAGAAAAAAAAAAAAAGAAGTGAAACGTGGGGAAATGTAAGAGAACAATATATATATATAAATAAATAAATATATATATATATATCTACGCTATCGCTTTGTCTGCTTGGTATTCTAAATATATGCTTCTCAAGAAAAAAATAAAAAAAAAAAAACAGAAACAAAAAAAAGTAGAAAAAGGAGAACAGAAATATGGTAAAAATATCTTATTTATTCACCAACTTCTTTCCTCTCTAAACAACAGTAAAAAAAAAAAAAAAAAACCATTGAAAGAGAAAAATAAGAAGGATACACACTTTCTACAATCCTCCATACAAGTTCAGAGCGCAAAGATCAAGATAAAAAAAAAAAAAGCGTAACAACCTCGCTAAAAGAAATGGGTGGAAATAACATATTTGATCTCTTTCATTTTTCGATCTCTACAAACATCGCACTCAACCCTACGATCTTTTTCAACAACACACATTGTTTTATCTCCTTTCTTCTTCTTCTTTGTCTTCTTTTTCCCTTTTTCTTTTTCTCTTGTATATGCATCCATTCAATTTCTTTTGTGCACCCCCACCTAGAAGGCCTTTTCAGACCAATACGAATAAATAATTTTATCGGTTTCCTTTCTTTTTTCTTCTTTTCCTTGAGAGCCTCAACTCACTATAATACACAGAAATACCCAGATAAAGAAAAATCCGCTCTACATTTCGCTGTCAAGTTTACCCAGTAAGGGTATATATATGGAAAAGGAGTAAAAAGAAAAAAAAAGGGGGAAACAAGGATGCGTAACGGAGAAGCAAGAAGGAAACAGTACAAACATGAGAACGAGGAGAAAAAAACAAAAATACGAAAAAAGGGGAAAGAAAAAAAAAGAAAAAAAAAAGGAAACCAAAAATACAGTGTAGACTAGTTGGTAAGAAGGATATGGTTTTTTTTTTTTTCTTTCTTTTTTCTTTTTCTTCTTGACTATCAGCCGTTAAGGCAACAGTATTGCATGTGTTCCTGTCCTTGATGACCTTGTTGTACATTTGTTGATCTTCAGTGTCTTTTTTTTTTTTTACTTTGATTGAATGTGTTTTTGCTCGATTTTGTGCCTTCCTCTATGTATTTTTTTTTTTTTGTTTTGTACTTTCATTTTATTTTGCTATCACTCTTCCTTGCTATTGTTTTTCTCATTTCTTTCTTTCTTTGCCTTGTCTCTTTTTTTTTTTTCATTTCATTTCTGTTCTTTAAAAGAAATAACAAATAATGGCAAAGGTGGCAGCACTATCTCGCTTCTCATTCATATTTTTTTTTTTCTTCTTTCCTTCTCTCCCTTCACTTTTCCTCTCATCCACATCTCTGCAATATATATATATATATATATATATATCTACGTATTCTACAGTTCTTCAATTGCGTACACAAAATTGCGTGTATTACCATTTCCCCCAGCAACTTCGCAGACACCTCGCAGTGAGTTCCCCTGCAACATGGCGAGAAAGACGAAAAAGGTTTGCTCTAAATTTGAGCCCTGAAGAAGTACACCCCACTCCATTGGATATTCACGTTCCCCAGGGGGTTTAATGGTTCCCTCCAATGGAGCTTCCTGTGCTGGAAAGCGTGAAGAAGACTCATGAAGTGTAAGTTTCCCTGTGATGCTCCCACTTCCAAAATCAGCCTGAAGTTGTAGAGTCCACGGCACATTTTCATCAAAAGGTGTGGCATCTCTATTTCCATCGGCATTAGTGGAAACACGAATAACGCGTGTCATACTACCAGCAGCAGCGGCAGCAGCAGCATTAGTGTCTGCAGCGTAACTGTCCATACCGGCATTGTAAGAGGCACGAGGACCTTCCGCATTCACTTTTTTGTATTGCACCACTTGACGGAAAACGTAATCCAATAATGCACGAGGGTCACGATTACGTGGACTTCGAAGTTTCTTCGTTACCCCAAGAATCTCTGCACCTTGTAAAATGTAAAACTGGACATCATCAGGTTTACATTTATTCGTTAACTGACTGAGTCGTACCCTCTCTGGTGCAAATTCTTCATCCAAATCAAAAAGATCTAGTGCTGGAGGCATAGGATCACGATGTGTAGGTTCAAACACTGCTGGTTTAACAGGTGGCAAAGGTGTAAGAAATTCAGGAGGAATAAGCGTTAAGGGTTCTTGCTTTACATTTAGTTTTTGATACGCTTCAATAACTTCTGGTATAATATCAGTATCAAGTTTAAATGTTTCCATTTGAAAGAGTTTAGTAAAGTCTCGAGGGAGTTCCTCTTGTTGTTCCACTGCCACACGTAAACGTTCAGAGAGAGAAGCGATATCAGGAACATAGTTATAATCTGTTATATCTGGTTCATCAGCGTCAATTTGATTAAGTTTCACTTTATGATTCATATAATCAAAGAGAACTGTTGATAATAACTCATTTTCTTCCTTTCCAAACCAACTATCTTCCATTACAAGAGCACTTCCAATAAGTAAAAGTTTACCTTGTTTTTTTCTGTTGTTGTGCTCTACCACTTCATTACTTTCCCATACGGCGGTGATGGGACGATTGAGCGGATATGCCATAAACCCACTGCTAAGAATTGGTACACCAGGACGATTCACATTAAAGCTTAAACCATGTGGGTAAACAAATACAAGACTTGTCGGTCCTTCTACCGCTGCTTCTTCTGCTATTTGCTGTTGAATAGACATTGCCGCAGGATTCATTGTAGCAACTCCCAATCCTCCAGCAGCAACTGTACGATTTAATGTTAATGGAACAGAACGATCCCCAAAAACAGAAGCTCCTGCATTAATACCTGTACGTTCTCCTTGATAACCAGGTGCACCAATAACATTCTTACCAGCGGCTTTATTAATAGCACGATTTGTTACTCCATTTGCCACGCACACCTCTTTAGGATGTAAATACTTATTCATAACTGTTCGTACAACACAATCTTCATTAAGGGTAACACCTGTCCATTCTTCTAATGTTTGGTTCAAGTAGGAGTAGCGACCACCATGACCATCACCAAATAACATAATAACAGATCCACCATGCTCTACATATTCTCGAATAGCAGCAAGATCTTCTTCACTTAACTTTTCTTGAGGGGCAGCAAATACAACAATATCATATGGAAGAAGACGTTCAATGGTAACATCCTCTTTATTCATATCAACAGTACTTACCTGACGTAGTCGTCGTGCCAATTGTTTGTAACCCTTGTTAGGGTGATACAACTCTTTTCGACAGACATTGAATAAAATTCTTGGCGGAGGATCTTTCGCTGCTGCAGCTGTTGTGTGCCCATTGAGAGTATTTCCATCGGCTCCATTTGCTGTGCCATTGAGGTGATCTGACATTTCTTGTTCACTCAATGAAAAAAAAAAAAAAAAAAAACTCAAATAATTTCTCTCACCACTAGCACTACTAACTTCCCTTAAGAATCCCTAATATTCTCTGTTTTACTCTTGTTGTTTCTTTTCTTTTCTTTTAACGTGGTTGTGTTTTAACAAGTAGAAAAAGACTCAAGATGTAGCCACGGAAATGTTGTTGCTACACAGTCTTTCCCACTTATTTTAACGCACTAGACAATACAGAGACACACAAAGAGAAAGAAAAGAAAAAAGAGAGAGAAAAAGAGGGGAGGGGAAAAATAAAACCAAAAAAAAAAGAAAAGGAAACCCTTTTTTTTCCCTTTTTTTTTGTTTTTCTTTTTCTCTTGTTTCTATGTATGAATGTGTGTCGCACAACAGGAGATGGGATTTCTCTATATTTGTGCCTTTGCTATGTACTTCTTTTTTTTTTTTACTTTCTTTTGTCCCTCGTCTTCTCTACGTTCTTCCTTTGTTTATGTTTGTTTGTTTGTAGGTTGTGAAGGGGAAGAGAAAAAAAAAAAGAAGAGAAATCATGATATAAATCACCAAACACAGAGAGACACAGACACAAAGAGAAAGATGTATAAAGGCTATAAAACAAACATTCATTATATACATTATTATAGCATATGTACTTTCTATCCTTCTTTACGGCATTATTCATGTACACAAACACGACAAGGGAAACTTATTCATTCAATCACTGACAAACAACGCACATTCACAGCCCAAAATCCGTGGAATTCTCATTCTCATTCTCTCCCTCTCTCTCTCTCTCTCCCTAAATAAATAAATATATATATATATATATATATATATATATATATATCAAGAACAGAATGAAGGTTTTCTTTTTTTTTTTCTCATTGTGGACTCTTAATCTCTGCCATTCTCTCTGTCTGTCTGTCTGTCTGAATTCATCTCGTTTTCGCCTCCCTCCGTCCTTCTATTTCTTCTGATTATTTTTGCATTGATTAATATAATTGGGAATACCTTTTTTTTCCTTAAATACTTTTTTTTTCATTTGTTTCTTTTTTTTACTATTATTACTTTCGGCACTTTGACCAAAGGTCTCCGTACAGCAACTCACTAAGTCCAAGAAACTCTACAATGTGGCAAAAGAGCGTTTTAACGCACTTAACCTACGCAGAAAACCAGAAACAACCTCGTCCTGAGAATAATAATAATAATAATAATAATAATAATAATAATAATAATAATAATTTGTAAGAGTAGTATAATTATTATAGTAAGAGTGATAAGCTTAAATCCTCTCACTCGTTTCTTCGGTATTCTTCACTCCTTCCACCGATCAGAACGCAAGACGGTGGAAAGAAAGAAAAAGAAAAAAACGGATGAGGAAACGAAAAGCGAAAGACATCAAACAAGCCATAGAAAAATAATAATAATAACCGAGGGAATTTCAATGAAACAGCAAAAAATAAAAATAAGAAAAGAAATGATTGGATATGAAAATGGAAAAAGAAAAAAACTCTTAACAGAGCAAGATAACACTAGAACCATCTTCTCATTTCAATCCATTCTTTTTATTTATTGCCTCTCTTCTTTTCATTTCTTACCTAATTCACTCTCTCCCTTTCTTTCTCTCTCTCTCTCTCTCTCTCTCCCCTCTATTCCGTCAATCTTCTGGAACACCATATATATATATATATATCCTCTCTGCAACTCCCCCATTTCACATCCTCATTGTAATAGCACACTATGGTGTCTTTTGCCGCTGGATCTCATCAATGTGGTGTGTTTGTGTGATGAACTCGTAGAGTGTGCCGAAAGCAAATAGAATGAAGAGCACACCGCCAACGATGTTTACCGTTCGCATGGAAACATATTGGGCGATGAGATTACCAAACAGCACCGCCCCACCTGTGCAGAGGGCGTGTCCCATCACACCGCCTAGTGTCACCGCGTATGGATTCTTCGCCGCCGCGAGTGCAATTGTTGCGAGTTGACTTCTATCGCCCCACTCCGCCACAAATGTGAGGGTGAAGGCCTCCACCAACACGGGGTGCATCAGAGTTTTCCAGCCGCGCCAACTGAACAGCCGCGATCGCCGGCCGGGGATGCCGGTGTTGCTACTGCTGCCCGTCGTCGTGTTGGACCCCGTCTCGAGATGATCGTTGGGGTCGCGGCGGCGCAAAACGGCGGCGGCCTCTGCCATTTCGTCTTCGCTCTCCGCATCCTCGTGCGGGCGACACAACTCCCCGTATAAAATATTGCACCCAAAGAAGAGAAAGAGCACAACCGCCAGGGCCTCCGTCACTCGCACAGAGAGTACATTCGGCACCACAACTCCCATCAGCGCAGAGAGAACAGTCATGGTCGCAAGAGCGCCAATGGCACCAAAGAAGACAAGAGCTTTGCTGTGACGCATCGCCATGAGACACGCAATGAAGAATGTCTTATCGCCAATTTCACTAACGAGGATCATGGAGAAGGAGGCGACAATACCCTCCGTCCAACTCTTTTCGGTGATACTCGACATGGTGAAGGTTTAGTAGACTATTCCCCTATATATGTATATATGTATATATATATATATATATATATATATATATTTGTGTGTTTGTGGGATCTGTGGATATACTATTTCTACGCTACACCAAGATCACCGGTGGTCCTTCTTCTAAAATTATTTATTTCTTTTCTCCCTTACTTTTTATTTCTTTTTTTTTTTTTTTTAATTCCTTTTGCTACGGTAAAGGGATGTGAATTTACCTTTTCCCTATTTCCTTGGATGTAGTGCGCGAGCGTAGTTACACCTCTCTTCTTTTCCTTTTAGAGAACAAAGGAAAAAAAAAAAAAAAACAGATACCACCACATGGTGATGAAGAAGAAAAAAGAAAGGAGGAGGAAAAAGAGAGCAAGGTAAATTAAAAAAGTTAACACAAGAGAATAAAATAGAAAACAAAGTAGAGCAATAAATAGAGACATATTGACAAATACTAGAGGGGTGAGACGTAGACAGACAGATAGATAGATAGACAAACAGAGAAAGATAGACATAAAATAGAGAAATGTATACACGCACGTAAGATGAGAGCGCATCAGAAGTAGTGAATGTAATGGAAGTAATGGAATACACGAAATAAATGTAAGTATGAATGACAATAAGGCAAAGACATGCGGTATATCAAGAAGAAAGAAAAAAAAAAAAAAAACGTAGTGGTCAAAGAAAGCCGAGTGGGAAAAAAGAGACCATACACTCAGTAAATACAAAAAAAAACCAAAAGAGCACATGTCCTTTTTTTTTTTTAATTTCGTATTTTCTTTTTTTTTCTGTTTTCTTTCGTTTGGAATTTATTTTTCAGTGTTCTGATTGCTTTTTTCTTCATCTGTGTATATTTCGTTCATGTTATCTCTTTTATTCCTTTCCTTTTTTTTCGGTTGCGTTTTTCCCTTCTTCTTTTCGTCTGAGTGAAAGTGATTGAGATTTCCCCCTCACCTATAAAGAGACTTAAAAAAAAAAAAAAAAAGAAACAAACAGAAGGGAAAAAAGATCAGCAGAAAAAGAAAAAAGAAGGAACCGAAGCGCTGATTCCAAAAAGGAACAACAACAAAAAAAAAAAAAACCTCATTCACTTCTTTCTTCGTCTGTTCGATTTTTTTTTTCTTTTCTTTTTATAGTTTCCCTCATCCCGCCACACCTCAAGCAGGAGCGGTAGCGGCAATTATGATGGGAAGCCGGGAGGGGAATAGGGAAAAGAAGCCCTGCAGTCACCACACAAACACAAGTGGGAAGAAGGGGGAAAAAAAGAGCAATGAAAGACAGAAAAAAAAGGACACAAGGTGTCCAAGACACACACACATATAAACACACGCATAAATACATACACAGAATACAAACAGACCTTGGAGCAACCGGCCCACGGGCAGCTTTTTTTTTTTTTTTCTTTTTGATATTTATTACCTTTATTATTAGTATTGTCGATTGTTTGATTGTTTTTGATTTTCGTTGCTTTTTTTTTTTGTTTTTGTTTTCTGTCCCTCTCTCATGTCGTTACTGTTATTGTAGCTCTGTGCGTTTTTCACAACACGTCAGCTTCGTTGCATTGCTCGTTTTTTTTTTCTTTTTTTTTTTTGTTGTTGTTGATGTTTTTTTTTTTTTTTTGCTTTTCGTGTACAAATTAGTTTTGTTTTTTTCTCTTTTTTTTCCTTTTTTTTTTTTTCGAATGATGTTTGATTTTGTAATCTATGTTTTATTACTTTGTTTCGTTGTTGTTGTTGTTGTTTTCTGTGTATCCATCCTCAGACCTATATATATATATATATATATATATATATATAAGGTATAGGTCTTTGTATCTCCTTTCTTTCACTTACTCAGACTCTGATTTTGCAGCGGCTTCGTGCTTCACCACGTCTTGCTGTTCCTCTTCCTTCTGCAGTTGTGACTGTTCTTCATCTTGATGTTGTTCTTCTTCTTGTTCTCGCTCTTCTTGTGGTTGATCTTGTTCGTGTTCTTGTTCCTCTTCTTGTGGTTGTTCTTGTTCTTGTGGTTGTTCCTGTTCCTGTTCCTGTTCTTGCGGTTGTTCCTGTTCTTGTTGTTCACCCTCTGACGGTGTTGTGGCTGTCAGTTTCGCCTCTTGCTGTTCCTCTGAGAAGTCCTTGCTGTTATTCTCTCCCTTCACACTGCTACCTTTGCTGCTTTCCTTCTCCTTTGTGCTGCGTCGGCTCCTCGCGCTGGCGTCCTTCTCCTCCACTTGGTTAGGGGAGGCCGTACTGTTGTTGATATTACTGTTAGAATTGTGGCTCTGTGTGCTGTTGTTGCGCTGAGGAGCATAACGCGGATAGGTGGAACTCACGTGTAATTCCTTGCAGTGTTGCCCAAACCGACATTTTCCTTTGATATAGTTAAGGCAGGCCTCATAGGGATAATGTGCAAAGGCACAATCTTCGAGGAAATTGCAAAAACCATATACTCGAAGGCATGGGTGCTTCTTATTGGCATTCCTTCCGCCGAAGCCTCCACCTTGTTGTTGTTGTTGACGGTTTTCCCATCGTCGAGGTAATGCATTGTTGGTTAAATTGGCGTTGTTACTGTTGTTATTGGCCGCCGCCGCCGTCGTCGCTGTCACTGCTGTGTTGCTGCATTGTGATGCATTAAGGCTACCAGCGTTGATGGCACCCACAAGTGTGGCTTCCAACTCCGAGGCGCGAATAGGCGTAGCACCAGGATCCACCTCCTCGTCTGCCCAATTCAAACAAGTGTTTCCGCCTTTTCCCATCAAATCACCTCCTGCTCCTGCTGCGGTGGTAGCGCTGTTCACATTGTTATTGGTGTTTGTATTGTTGTTGTGGTGAGTAAATGGAGGGATGGGGGTACGCTGCGAGACAGGCGGCACCTCTGTGGTGCGCACAATCTGCAGCATCTGTACAAGGCGGCGCAGTGTTTGATTCGGCACAACCACATCATACAACTCTTCCTTTGTGAGTTGCGAATAGGCCTTGGTGTTGCTGCTCGCACACTCCTGCAGGTACTCGCAGATAGACACATTCTCATACGTGAAGCCGTCGGAGGCCACAACGGGTTCCGTCACGGCGGCGTATTGCGCCACAACGCGTTCCACCGCAGCGAGATTGGACTGAGCGGCAATGAGTCGCGTACGTGCCTCATCGCGCTGGCGGATGGCCGTGTTGTACATCACACGTGTGTCCTCAAGTATGCGCTCCAGGCCGCGGGTGATGTTGAGAAGATACGGCAGCGAATTGGCGTGGGCGGTGAAGCCGTCATGAAGTTCCTGCGCTGCGGCCCACACAAGCATTGGGTTGTTGGTGCTGTTGCTCTCAACGTTGTTGTTACTAGTCGCCGGGGTTGTGTGCATGATTCCTCGTTGTTGAACGTGAGAGTCTGAGAGTGAGTGGGAATGTGGGGAGCCGTGCGTATAAATATATATATATGTGTATGATTCTTCAGGCGAATTGAATGAGGCGAGCCTTCCCTGTTTATTTTTCGTTTTTTTTTTTTTTTTTAACTGTAGTGATGCCGCGAAGCTGTTATTATATATATAAAAGCAATAAAAGTAGGGAAATAAAAATAAAAATAAATAAAAGGCAGCAAAGACTACAGAAAGACACAAGCATTTTTTTTTTAAGAGCATATAGTGGCACAGTTGAACGTGCTTCTGGAAATAGAAATAACAATTGGGAATGGTGATTTGATAAAGTAAGTGATTTGATAAAGTAATAAATCAGAGCGCATACGTGCGTGCGTGTGTGTGTGTTTAAATAGATATGTGTGTACACAAATGACGTTCGTATAAAAATATTTGCACCTCGTTTACAATATTCTCTCTTCTTCCTTTAATTCCCTTCTCTATTTTCTTTTCTTCCTTAATATCATCCCTCCTCTCATTCTTCTTTTTCCTCTTCCCTCCCTCCCTCCCTCCCTCCTCCTCCTCTTCCTCCTCGTCCTCCCATAAACTTCCTCTTTCGCTCTCTCACGCATACACAGATGGGAGATGCTCTCCCTTCTACTGCTGTTTTTTGCTCTTACCACCGTTGTTGTTCTTGTTGTTATTCCTCTTGTTGTTATTGCCGCTGTTGCTGCTGCTTCTGCCGTGCTTCCATCATCTTGCGTTATGTTTTAATTTGAGTACCACATTTCTTGTTTGTTTGTTTGTTTTTGCTTTTTTTTCTCGTTGTTGTTGTTTATCTCTCTTTCGTATTTTTCTCTTTCCTTTCGCTTCGTACCTCCCCTTCTCTGGCCGACACACCCACTCTCACTTCTGCTTTCGATCCCACCGCAACACACAAACACCCATATATACCATACACACAGATATTAATATATATATATATATATATATATATATATATATATATATATATATATATATATATATTAAACACCACCACGTAATAGTGTGAGAAAGAGAGAGAGAGAATACGCAAACAGAAAGGCCTGGCAGACGGGCAACCACCCTGCCAAGAAAAGTACAGGCGAAATCGATCAATGGCAGCAGTAATAGTAATAGTAGTGGTAGTAGCAGAAGCAGCAAAAAAAAAAAAAGTAACAAAAGGAAAAAAAGATATAAAAAAAAAAAAAAACCAAAAAAAAAAAAGAAAAAAGTCAATCAAGATAGTCTGAGCACAGAATGAAAATAAGACAAAAGAAAAAACGCAGAAATAGAAATGAAAAACATGATATATGACTACAACAAGGAAAAACAAAAAAAAGGGAAAAGAAAAAAAAGGCCATGTACCACCACATTATCCCTTTCTCCCAATGTGAACAGTGAAAAGGGGAAGAAAAAGAACGAAACAACGAAAAAACAGCAGCATAACACGAATAATAATGCACAGCATATGATATTAATTCCCACATTTCACTCAAGAAAAAAAAACAAAAAAAAAAAACAGATGAGAAGCAGAGAAAAAAAAAAAAAACGAACCATCACAAGCGGCGGCAGCAGCAGCAGCAGGGCAACATCAATAACATTAGCAGTAGTAATAACAATTATACTGGCAATGAAGAAACGTTGCCTGCAGAACCACAGAAACAGGAAAATCTAAAAGAGATGAAGGGGAAAGAGGAAGGGAGAGTGAGGAAAAAAACAGAATAGAGCTGAGGGAAAAAGTAACGAGAAAAGAAAGGACTATAGATTAGGGAACAAAAAAAAAGGGAAGGGACGAAAAAAAAAAAAAAAAAAAAACAGTCGGAAGATAAGTGAGCACACACATACACACACAAGAAAGAAGAATGGCATTAGAGCGCGTATAAACAAAGAAGATAAAAAAGAAAAAAAAAAAAACAGCAGTGAGAGAAGAGAAAAGAAAAGAGGAAACATCACATTTTGCTCTTTTTTTGCTTCTTATTAGCAATGTTCATATTTCTTCCTGCTTCCTCTTTAGTCTGTTTACTCGCATTGCATTTGTTTTTTCTTCTGTTTTTTTCAGCTCTTTCGATTCACTCCGATTTCTCTTGATTGTTCTCCTTCACTTTTTATTATTCGTTTGCTTTTTTTTTTTTTTTTTACTTCTTCTCTCCCCCATTTCCTCCTTTTTTTCACTTTATTTGCCGTCTTTTTCTATTCCCACACAACCCCCTCCACCCTCTCTTATGTATTGTATCTCTTTTCCTCATTTCCACACCCCACACCGCTACCAATATTACCTTCCCTCTCTCTTTTGCTGGCGATGATGATCTCATTGTTGTTGTCTGTACAGGAATAAAGGGAAAGCACACAATGAAAAAAGCAGTTAAAAGTAAAAAAAAAAAAAAACAAAGAGAAGTTTGGTAGTGCACTGAGATAACTCAAGAGAGAAAGAGGAAGAAGGGGGGAGGAGGAAGAGGGGGAGAGAAAAGAAAAAAGAATTAGAGAAAGAGAGGGGAAACAAAAAAAAAAAAAAAAAAAGATAAATGAGGTGCACAAACATACGTGTATAGAAGGTAAAAAAGAAAAAAAAAAAAACTGAGTGCTAGACGCAGCTACACTTTTATACCCACACACACACACCATAAAAAACGTTTTTTTTTTTTTTCTTTATATCGTTGTTTTTGTGAGGCAATAGCGACATCATGTGTACTGCCGCCTCCTTCAATTCTCACGTTCACCACTCAATGAATAAAGGAAAAACAAATAAGTGATGAATAAGAGAGAGAGACGCAAACAACCAGAGAGAGCGAAAACCCTCAAAAAGAGATTTTTTTTTTCTGACTTTGTTTGTTTTCTTTCTCCGCAAGAAAAGTGAAGGAATGACCCACTCCTCAATTACCTCACGCTCTCTACAGAAAGAGAGTAAAAACAAATACGTATATATATACGGAAACGCATGTGAGTGCATTCACTCCTTTCATTTACCCCACATATAAATACATAGATACAGACACACCTCACAAAGAAAATAGAGAGAGAGAGAGAGAGAGACGCAATCCACTTTTTATTCTCTCCGCGTCAATACTCCATTATTTATCTCTTTCTCTCTATCATTTCTGTGATAATTCGCTCCGAGTGCGGCTGCATGATAATACACTTATTCTCTTTTCCCATTTTTTTTTATTTTTTTTCTTTATTTTTGCTCTGATACTCTTTTTTTTTCTCTTCGTTCATTCTGTCCGTTCTTTGTCTACGTACTTTTTTTTGATGCTTTTGTCGTTTTTCTTTTTTTTTTTCTCAAATCATATATATATATTTTTTTCGTTTCCTTTTTACTGCTTTCTCTTACCCGTTGATATGGCACACGCACTGCGATCACGGAGATAACGCATAAAAAGGTACAGAAAAAAAAAAAGAAAAAAAAAAAAGACGGACGATTTTTAACAAAGAAACAAATGGATCTCGCCGTTACCTTTCTGGTTGCTGTCACAGTCAGTTGTTGATGGTGGTAGCTGCAACGGTAACAGCCGCAGCAACGGCGCCGTTGTCGTTAATGTCTTTTTTTTTTTTTGTATGTGTGTGTGTGTGTACGAGTCTGTGGAGTTTTTGTTGTTGTTTTGGTTTTGGTTTTTTTTTATTTTTTTTTTCTTTTCGAATTCATTTTTTTCCTGTATTCTTCTTCATCATCATCCATCATTGCCCTCCACACCACGGGGTATTCGTTATTTGTTGTACTTTTTCTCTTTTCTTTTTCTTCTTCTTGTGGGTGTTGTTCCGGCTTTGCCCATCACGCCACGGCGTTGGAGGCGGGGCCCCGACCATCACCGTTCTGCTGTGTGTGGTTCATCGGGCCGCGGAAGTCCACGTGGCGCTCGTGGCACTGCGAGCGGAAGCGGCATTTCCCCTTCAGGTGCGAGAGACACGCATCGTACGGGTACAGTGCGTACGCGCAGGTGTCCTTGTAGTTGCAGTAGCCGTACACACGCACACACGGATGCAGACGCTCCCCGCCGCTGCTGCTCCCACTCACACCGCCACCCGCCGCTGCGGCGGCCGCCAAACTAGCGCCCTTATTGCCTGTTTCACCCTTGTGGTTGTGATGTCCATTAACGCCCGCCCGGCCTGAGGCGGTGATGCTGTTGTTCGTGTTACTGTTATTGCTGTTGTTGATGCTGTTGTTGGTGTTGTTGCCGTGGCCGCTGCTGCCCAGCACATCAGTACGCATATCCGCAGGTCGTGTTTCCATCAATTGCTCGAGGAATCGCTTGAAGGAGCGGTTGGGAAACAGCAGCATTGTTAACTCCTTGTGCGTCTGCTGTGACATGGGCACATTCTTGAGTGTCTGACACTCATTCAGGTACTTTGTAATCACCTCACGTTCATACGTGAAGCCGTCGGAGGCGACAACAGGATCTGTTACCGCAGCGTAACGCTGCACCACACGCTGAACATCCAGCAATCGTCCCTCGGCCGCCTCAAGAGAGCGGTTCATGTAATCCCGTTCCTCCACCACTGCGTCATAGTGTTGCCGCAGTGTCTCAATCACATTAGTGAGATTCTTAATGTGCTGCACCACCCGTGAGACTTGTTGTTCATAGCCGTGCAGGCCGTGTTGCAACTCCGCAACGGCGTCGTGGGCACTGCGGTATGCTGCGGCGGGGCTCATTAGCGGTGTTGCAGTTGACTGCGCCACCTCGGCCTCACCTGCAGTTGTGTTTGCGTTCGCAGCTGCCTGTGCGGCGGCGGATGCCCAATTGCCACGTGTGTTGCTCATCTAAGGTGTTTGTCTGAGGAATGTGTTTTGTGGGCGCCGGTCTTCGTAATGTTTTGTGTATTTTCTTTTTTTCTTTTAGTTTGGTTGTTGTTGTTTTTTTTTTGTTTTTTTTTTTTTTTTTTCTTTGCCTTGTTTTGTTTTGTTATGTTTTTCTTTTTCTTTTTTGTTTCTCTGTTATTCTTTTTGGTTTTGTTCTTTGTTTTTTTTTTCTTTTTCTATTTTGTTTTGTTTTGTTTTTTTTGTTTTTCTTTTTTTTTTCGATTTGGATGTTGATTTCTTGCTGCTTTGTTCTTTTTTTCTTTATATCGTTTTGTTTTTTTCTTCTACTGTTTGGAAAGACAGAGACACACACAGGTAGAGAGAGAGAGAAAGAAGAAAGAAATCCTATCTTCGGTTTGTCGTTGAAAAGAATAGCGCAGAGAGGATCCGACCTAAAATGGAAAGGAAGGAATCTGCTCCCACTAAGATGGTTACCTTTGTCTTTTCCTATCTGCTCCAGCTACCCGCAATTGTAGTAGCAGCAAGAGTAGAAGAAGTAGTAAGAACAGCCAAAAAAGAAGGAGAAAATAAGAAAATGAGAAGGTCAGAGAGAGACAAAGAGAAAAATAACAAATAAGGTATCCATAATACCTCTGAGCCAAGAGGAGAGTAATTCTTTTCGACTGTAATTGTTACATGTTCACACTAAGTGAGTAAACAAAAAAGATGTGAGTGTCATCTCCCAACCCAAGCAAATAATAAAAATAATAATAATAATAATAATAACCATCTGTGAGAATAAAACAAACAAAGAAAAAAAAATCAAAATACCCCATGATGAATAAATGCAAACAAAAACTGTTAAGAAGAAAACAAATAAAAACAATGACAGTTCTCAGAGTTGGAAAACCAGTCTGAAGAATGGAGACGAGGAGATTTAAGAATAATAATAATAATAAAATATATAATAATAATAAAAACTAATAATCAGATCGGCCTTAAAGGGAAGAGTGAAAGGGCAGAAAGCACGTCGCAACAAACCACACGTGAAACGGAGGGATCCTGTTCCTGTTCCTGTTCCTGTTGTTGTTGTTGCGGTTCCTTCTTATTCTCGTGGGCCACGGCAGCATCCGGCTCTGCAAACACAATGTCCTCAAAAAAGGCAACACCACCTGACTGCAGAGACGAGGATGAAGAGAGTGTGGAGGAGCACAGCATCTTAGTCATGGCCTTTTTGCGAGTTTCCACTGACGTAAATTCCATTAAATTGTCAGTATGAGCAAACAATGGATGAAACAGCGTTGATGCCGCAACGTACTGACAGGGAGACAACAGCGGGAGGTGCAGTGTTGGTAATGCGTAGTGATGAAGTGAGCGGTAGCCTCCCACTAAAGTTTCAGCAGGGAGTACAACCGCCTCTGTACCCTCTAATATATTATCACTCGCGTTAATATCACTATGACAACGACTAGACATGAGCCGCACCACAGGAAACGCGTTACTGCCCTTCTGTTGTTCAATATATTGCTGAGCTAGCATATAGTCTGCCTTTGACCAAGATTGTTGATGCCCTGATGAAGAGAGATTCTCACCAGACATCAACATCTCAATTGTAACAAAACGGACCACTTGACACCGTACACCACGCTTTAAACATGGAGAAAGATCTTGTAGTAATACGACTTGAGTGCCTACAGTGAGGCGAAGCGGAGCGCACTGCGCCACAGCTAACGCAAACAATCGTCTTTCTACAAAGACAGGTTGTGCAGCTGATACAATCTCATCTAGTTCTTCAAATCGAAAATGAGCGAGAAATCCATCGACTTTCTTCTCATGTTTCTCTTGTAAAACAACTTTTTCATGTTTTTTATGCTGAGATGAAGGGGTTAAACTGTGCGTCCACAAGGGAAATAAACGTGCCTCGACAGCACTCTTAACAAGTGCTTGCTGTAACGCCTCAGTCGCCGCCTGACGTGCTGTAAAGGCAATATCCCTATCATTATTTGGAAGAAAACGTAGTCTAGTGCCAAATAAACGACAACGACGATCAGGAGGATAAGAAACGTAATCAATATGAAACACATCTATATCCATCACTTTAAAAACTCCTGTACGTTGCGCTCTCGTAACAAGATCAAGATAAAGAAGACGACCCAATGGAATCACATCTGCAACCATGGGTGCACAGAAGAGAAGGGTATGCGTCCAGCAGCCAAGTAATACAACAGGTTCAAAGTGGGGTTCATAACTTTGTTCAAGCAACTGTTGTTGTTGTTGTTGTTTTTGTTGTTGTTGTTGTTGAGAAGAAGTTCCCTTTATGTGAGAGGGTATGCTTGAAACCATGGAACGATTTTCCAAACCAAGTGCTACACGAGATAATGTTTTATTAATAGCATATGCCTTTTTCAGAGTATCGTGGTCCGCACATGCCCGTTGCCATGCTAAACAACGACTCTCCAACACAATAGGATTCAATTCAGCGCATGAGAAAAGATTTTTTGATGGAAGAGACATAGAATCGTGAAATGTCAAAGAGAGAGACTTAGAACCACCTTCCAATATCTCAACTTCTAATGGAAACTCCCGAAGGAGTTCATGTCGTACACGCATTGTTGCAAAATTTGGGTAGCGAAGAAATAATTCTTCATATGGTGAAAAATTCATTCCTTTTCTTTTAACAGGTAAACTTAGAAATGCTTCATAAGCCTCACATAACTGTAAAATCACATCTTCTTCTTTCTCTACATCTTTATAGTATTTCTGACTCTCAACAATACTTTTACTGGTATTTGACCCCACTTTAGCCATTCTCCATACCTCACCTGATATAGTAGTAGTCATATAATATCTGGCATCACAAAGTAATTCAATAAAAGACTTTTGTTCCTCTCTACTCATACTTTCCTGAAATATACTCAATACACGCTGAAGTGCAGCAACAATAGGTTCTTCAAGAAAAAAAATAGCCTCTGATTTGGGAGAGAGAATTCGTACATTAGCATTTTCAGTGTGAATGTGTGCAATTACATTTCCATCAGACTTAGAGGGAGGATGAGACCACTGAGAAGGAGAGTATCCGACAAAGATTGCAGAAACATCACCAAATAGAGAGGCTCCAGAACCGACTACACGTAATGGTTCACAAGCATTGAAAAGTAGTTCTCTTTTTATCTGCCCATTCCCTTTTCTGGAGTTATAATCACAGTTAATAGCAGTATCTGCAACTTTGTTACGTGTCCACTGGTCCAGTAAACGAGCAATCGCACGCCTTGTAAGAAGGTGGGCATTACCAATAACAACAGTAGTATTGTTCTTATTTTTTTCATTTTTATTTTTATTATCACTACTACTATTGGTTTTAGAAGAAGCGGTGCTAGAAATATCAGTTAATGTGTTATTTTGTCTATCATTATGTATTCCAACGTGAAGTAATGGGATACCAATTCCCAACATCAGTGCACCACTTTCACTCCATCGCACTGGATACGCCAAGACATCTGTTACTGAGGCGTAATCCACACAGTGTTCCAAAGGGCAATAGAGAATATCACTGTTGATATATCTTCGCAGAAGCGCGTCCACGACAATTTCTACCAGTGAAACTTCTGGCTTATATGCGACAGATAAGTATGCTAGGCGAGAGTTTGGAATCAAGAATGAAGTAGAATTTAGTGTAGAATACCGATTAATCATCTCATTATCATTTTTTGATGTAGTCACTATCGTATGAGAAACAGTTAAAGATTTCTTAACAGAATCATCCTTCTTATCAATTGATAGTTTTTTCCGTTGTTGTAGTACAGCTGTACGCCACATCAAGGATTGTTTCAAAAATATTTCTCCAAACGCCACTATCGACTTTGTATAGTCATTATTATAAGCAGAATTATCAGATTTTCCTATACAGGTAGCATTTGTTTTTCTCCTTGTTGAAGACGGTATAGAAGAACAAATAAAGGAGTGTCTTTTGCCGAGTGAAAAATCGTAGAATCCCAATGGTATTCGGCGAGAGTTATTACTGCAACTTTCCTCACGGAGTACATCCCTCACCTTCTGCGCCAGAGCCATCTTTTCCTCCGCCGGTGTTGTTTCTAAAAGCACACCAAGCGATTGCTGTAATGATGCACTCCACCGCGCTGATGGATTCTTCCTTCTCTCATTCTCCACACATACATGTGTTTTCCCTGCCAGTTGTTGCATTTCCAACGCCAATGTTTGCAATCGATGCGGGCGCAGCAAAACAACACGTCGGCCGTGACGCAGTTGAGTGTCAATTCCAAATCCCGCCTCCACAAGATGGGCCCAGTGCGGCGAACGGAGGGAAACGAATTGTCTTGTGAAGGGGCAATAGATGGAACCGTAGTCCAGCCATGAGAGAAAGGATCCACGCAGACGTGAATTTCGGAATCGTAACATTGTTGTTATTCGTTTACGCGAAAACAACGATCCACCCACCATGAATAATCGTGAAAATACTGAAGTTGATTCCATACGAGTTGTTGTTGTTGATGTTGATGATGATAGTGATAGTGGTGGTACGATTTCCTCCATTTCCTCTACTCCAAGTAACGCATCAAGCAGCGTTCTCTCCTCAACGTTATTAAATGAATCACCATCCGGCAGAGGGGACATTGCCTTATTTTTTTTTTTTTTTTCTGATGTACACAGTTTAAATAGGAGGAGAAATTATACCTTTAAAAGGCTGAGATACACCTCTTTAGAGAAATTACTCTTCTATGCTTAGGTCATCTCAATAGAAATTCATCCAATAAATTAGAGCAACGAGTAAATAAAGAAAAAAAAAAACATATATACCGTTAAACAAAATTCCTACACAAACGTAGAGAGACCTGTAGTGATTAATGAAAACTCAAAAAGAAAAAAAAGAAGATAGCATACTTCTAACATACACTACAGATAAGCAATACTTTCTCAAATGGATTCACTTGTATGTCTCTTGTAAGTTTCTTTTTCTTTTTTTAATTAGGCACACAAATAACATGAACCTCTCTCCTTTTTTTTCTTTTATCGTCGCTCATCTTTCCCACACTTCCAGTCTAGAGAGGAAAATTTTCGATACTTTTTCATTCGAACAAAACACGCAATACATTCTTTTAGGAGAATATATGCACTTATGGGTATGTATTCGCTACCACTTTTTTTCTTTTCAGACTCTTTTTTTTTTCATTTACTTTTTTTTTCTTTTTTACTCTTCTCTCTCTCTCTCTCTCTCTCTCTCTCTCTCTTTTCCTTTTCCACCTCAGTCCACCTCTTCCTCACGTTTAATTGGAGGAGAAAGTGCATCCATCCCTTGTTGCTGTTGTTGTTGTTGTTGTTGTTGTTGTAACATCTGCATCATCATTCCCATGAGCATTTGTGCCTGATCATTAGATACAGCAGTAGTATTAGTATTAGTATTAGTATTGGTGTTTGTGTTCACTGCGGCCGGTTGCGTTGTTGTTGTTGTTGTTGTTGCTGCTGTGTTGTTGTTGTTGTTGTTGTTGTTGTTGTAATTTCCCGCAGATGACTGCACAGCACTAGTGCGGAGTGATGGATGCACAACATCACTACTTCCCTGTTTTCCATCCCGTCCCTCATACTGGGAGCGCACACCACTGTAGTACATCTGCTGAAGTTGTTCACGTTCGGCTTTATTTCTCGGATCTGCCGCTGCCGTTTTCTTCACAGGCCGCAGTAAAGAAGGAAGAACTGTATCAATACATTTTTGGAGATTGCTAATACGACCATCTTTTTCTGCCTTCTCCAGTTCAGGAAATTTTTCCAAATCAAATTTATCCAAAAAAGTACGATACTCTTCAACTGGAGGAAAATCTTTCCAATTCATTTTGTATTTAGATGCCATTACTTCATATGTTTTTTGTAAATTATCAAGTGCCTTTCGTTTTGCTTTTTCTTTACCAAATAGAATTGGTAATTCCGATCGCATTCCACCTACTATAAGGGCATGTACCAAAACTTCTTTTGCACGTTTAATAAGACTTGCTACTTTCCTATCACGTGCTTGTTGAGGTACAACTTCCATGATTTCATGTAATAAGTCTGTCTTCTCTTCTGTAAAGAGTAAAGTAAATGTCCCTTCTTTGTATGGTTGATCCCAAAAACTTCCTACATATACACGTGGAGGTTCTGTACAGTTAATAAAATTGGATAAATTCCAAAATAGACTTCCATAGACTCGCATAAGTTCTTGTGTATTAACACTATCCGCCTTATTCAATACAATGCGTACCTTTCCCTCCATTCCACGAAAAGCGTGTTTAAACATCATTTTTAATTCAATACCAGCATCCAGTTTTGAAGGATCAAAAAGTACAAAAATGAGATCACTACGTTCTGCAAACCAACGACTTACTTTAATATAATCAAATCTTCGTTCACGTATATCTTTAGCACTCTCAAGTACACCAGGGGTATCAATCAAGGTAACACGTTTTAAGAGTTCATGTGGAACTTGTAAACCCTGAAAGTTTTCAAGAAAAGATTCTCCAAATTCTGTTAATCCTTTAAAAGGAAGATTTTTCGTATTAGCGAGAACATGACCGTTAATTGGACTCACCTCTTCACCATAAACCACAACAGTAAACTCAGCCGTTGTTGGTTGTGGCCCTGTCCAGAGATAATTATCTTGTAAAAGGTGATTGATAAATGTACTTTTCCCAGCAGACCAAGGACCAAAGAATGTAATAAAAGGTTTTTGATTAAGAATAGTCTCTTCAAACCAACTTGGACGAAACAAATCGTACTTATACATATCCTCAAGAGGTTTTACATTCTTTAAGTAGATTTCATGTAATTTGGCTACAAGTTCATCCAAGCTACCGGGATCGTATCCAACAGCTTCCGTAGCCGTCAATACAGCTGAAGTGTTGGAGTTGTCTGCAGACATGATTGAAATGCCCCTTTTCTCGTTATGTTTTTTTTTTCTCTTTTTTTTTCCCTTTCTGATTGTTTGCGTATATATATATATATAAAGAGAGAGAAAAGAAAAAGAGATGCAATTATTGTCAAAAGAAATATGGGGGATAAAAGAACACAGGCGTTAAAGCGAGAGAAGAAAAAATAAATAATTTAACAATGCCGAAACAGTAAAGAGAGAAACACAGAAAAACATTGTTTATATATATATATATAAACACAGAAACACATATAAAAACGCATGCAACATCAACTATGCGCAATCTCTGATTACATTTAAGGACGAGTTTATTCTTTTTTTGATTTTTTCGTTTTTTTTTTTTTTTTTTTTTTTTTTTATTTCTCTTTTCTTCATTGCTATCATATTGGTATCCTTTTGTTGTCTCCCTGATTATTATATATATATTTGTTTTTCTCTCTGTGTTATAAAGAAAGAATACTATCTCCAACTGATCTATATGTACCTTATCTCCTTTTGTTTTTCCTCTATTTTATTTTATCAACTCACCAGTATGAGTACTCATGCATGCACCGGTAGTATTAGTACAAACTATGCGAAACGCACTAATAATAACGGAAAAATAAATACAATAAACTGCAACAGCACTGTAGACATACATAAATATATATATATATATATATATATATTCTTTAAATAAATCAAAAAAAAAGAATAAATAATAAAACAAAAAAAAAGAATAAATAATAATAATAATAATAATAATAATAATAA